CTGCACTTTGTGCAAACGAATGCATGTGCAGCGTGAAACGAATGCGTCATTGCAGCGCTATCTGTTCTGTGTTTGCAGCAGGGAAGATGACTACAGACAGTAAAGTGTACTTGGTTTGTCTTTCAATCCTGGACTGTTGACTGGAACAGCCCTTTCCAAGTACATGTACACCAATTCCAAAAGAATAAGAGGGCGCATTGGCGTTGCAAAGGGCACACATTCAGCCAATCTGGTTTCCGGTGAGGGTGTTCGTCCATTAGCCCCATCCACAATGCCATGTAGGAGTCAGCAACGGTAAACGTAGCCCATACTAAACCATAAGGGCAGGATGTGTTACTGTTAGTGGTCTAGTGTGTCGATCGGCGTGGTACAGTCTGGATTGTGCTCATCTCCACTCCCTCCTTAACGTTGCCTCTCCAACTGGAGTGATTTGCCCAATCTCAGATGGGTACCCTAGGGGTGGGCATTACCTCAACTGAGCATCTTGCTCCGAACTAGGGGGCGGATATAATCTGAACTGGGAATACAAACCCTAACTGGGGGGGGGGGGGGGGCATCGTCTGAACTGGGAATTCTACTCTTAATTTGGGGTGGACCTCATCTCAACGGGGAATACAACCCCTCACAATGAAGCTCATGTTTGAAGGACAATCCTCTCACACCTTTGCAAACTACACACTCCGCACACGAGTACAGAATGCTTTTGTAACACATCACACGCACCCTCTACGCTTCCAGATGAACGGTGCGAGGGGTGTGCCTTCTCTCCAGCCTTGGGCATTTCCTTGCGTAAGGCATGGTTTACTGGGTCCTAACGGTGGGCGACACCATTACACTGCATGGTGAGCACAGCGGAGTACGCTAATATGGACATACTGTAATACTGATCTGAAAATATCACAGAAGACATCACTGCACAGCCAGCTCGGCCTTGCTAGTTTACCCCACACGTTTTGACAGTCACGTTTGTAAAAAACGAACCACGCGGCAGCATAGCTTTTTTTTCCATCATGCTTCTGTCATCCCAACCTTGTTATCATCAACCTAGTACCTGGGCCAGAGACTTGCTACCGACAGCAACGATAATTATTCTTATACAAGTACATGTGTGACATACATGTAGGTCGATCATGAGCTTGAGGTGTAGATCTACAAGCCGCCAAACCTCCTAACTATCGGAGCACCTATTCCCGACGTGGCACACCATCACTCAGCATAGGACAGGCTAGCTACATGCACATGTACGTGTACCTGACCGCAAAGGTCATGCCACATTGTTTAGTCACAGGTGTACTCCTACCATTGGAAATTTCTGGTACAGACAGCCAGCCTCACTTGGCAGAGAAAGACGGAACGTGACATGACCATCGTCGACCCCAAACCCGAATACGATCATCAAACTGCAAATTCAAGCGTAGATGTACAGCTGAAGTGGTGACTTCAGGAGCAGACAACTTCTTAAAGGGGAAGTCCGGTGAAAAATTTAAATTTCAGGGTTGATAGAGTTTCGGGCGCTGAGTCGAATGGTGTTGGTCCCACGTGTCTCCGACAAAGCGTTCTCGAGATATTTCCGTTTGAAAAACTGAGTTTCGGGGCTGCGCCATGACGTCATGCGGCCGCGCCACACCCTCTGCAACGTCATAGCGTGCAGCTAGGTCAAAAGGAGTGCGTGAAAGCAATAGTGTCAGTGCTATTTCAAATGATTTGGCGACTGATATTAGTTGGTGCAAGCGACCCCGAAGACCTGTAACTCCTTGTGAGAGTGAGGATGCAGCCATGGCTGACCTTCATGAGTTCGGTCTGGGGCTGAGAACCTCGGTATTCAGCTGAAGAAATGGCCGCGCGGGCCGGTCAAGAGTGAGCGCTACTGAGTTTCCCTCTGATGAAGAAGCAGCAGCTATTGCAGACGAGGCTGATATTATTATCAGATCGCTGGAGAGCAGGGTCGCCAAAATGGAGAAGAGTGATGCGAGTGCTCTAAATGTTGTTCCATACCGATTCGCGTAGACTCCAGTACTGGCAGTAGCCTGCCACATGCCATGGTGATGTTTTGGTGCGAACTTGGAATATTTCGGACTACTCAATTGGAGAACAGTGCAGGCTCTTTGAACCACGGGCACGACTCTTCGCTCGCAACGCTATGGAATCTGAAAGTTCTAGGTCCGGGAGCTGTTCGCTGTTTTGTCACTTGTCACGGTTGTGCACTCATCGCTGTAGCATAAAATAATGAGGCGGGAGCGGAAAACTAAAAGTAATTTTCTTTCTCAAAGCACAATCACCGGCACCGGCAAGGAGAAACGCACGTTCTCTGACTACATGACTGTACAATACGACTGATACGAGTGTAGTACATGACAAGTCCGTGTGTTGACTAGTTTTCTGAGTCTTGTGTCAGTGACTCACTCGAGTCTTGTTGTAGATACTACCCCAGCACGGCAGTGCGGGAGTAGTTCCGTCTGTGATGAGTTTGTTGACTTTACTACAGCAAGATAACACACTGCACGCACTGCAATCTCTGCATGCACGCAGCGCACAGCGGGTAGAGGCTGACGGAAAAAGTCCAAATCGGAAACGGCTAAAATACGGTATAACCTCGAGGTTTACCGAGCTGAAAATCACAGAGTACGTAGTGTTTGTAACACTGAATCGAATGGTCTTGCTCCGAAGAAGCTGTGACAAACGGTTCCCCAATCGAACGCGCTCCGAATATGGCCATTTTTGTACACAACTAGATGGTGTGGCTACCTGGCTGCACGCTGTGACGTCATCACCTGGATCTGGGTGATGCGCGCTCAAATTCGCACATGTTCGATTGGGCGTATCTGACGAACCATAAGCCGCAGCCTCCTCGGACAAAGACCATTCGACTCAGCGACCCGAACTCTACGGACTGTGAAATTTAAATTTTTCACCGGACTTCCCCTTTAAACTGCAAAGATATGCGTGTACCCGCACACTTTCGCACGCACCTCTGAGCTTCGGATCATAGGTCTCCGAGCAGATCCTAGACTCAGGACGATCGCGCCTCAGCTACATTGTGTATCAGTATCGCCTTCCTATGCACACTGCACAATCTATGACTGTGCCACGACTCCCAGGCCAGGGTGTGATGAGTACAGTAAGCTAGTTAGTTAGTTAGTTACACGTTCACTGCTTGCTGACACCGAGTCGGGGCGTCCTGCTCGAGGTTGACCTCACAAACACTTAGGGCTACATTGTCACTGCACTCTTACCATGCACGAGCATTGGTATTGGCACTACACTGACTGCAAATAGCTGGATGTCGCACACTACCCGTGGCTGGTATGCTTGCGATGCACAAAAATTAGTAGTACTCCGGAACACTCCGTGACTCGTGCGGCTAGCCAACGAAGACAGTGACCCCGAAGACCACGTAGCAGCCGGTCTAGTCTGGAAGTCCATGCCGTCCAAAACGAGACACCGTACTGTGTCTTCACGTCGTGCAGAAAACGAGTCCGACTCTCAGAGTCGGAGTGCGCAGAGGAGAGGTCACGTCAACTGTGTCGTGCACTGTGTGGTGCTTGAAGTCAACCCAAACCAACAGCACTAGTAGACGGTATAGTGGAAGTGACAGCCTCATCTTCTGCTTCACGTAACAGTAGTTAGCATCATCCGTTACTGAACGACACAGTGTATCATGCTGACATTGTAAGCTGAAGAATGGAAATGGTCTCGTACACACGGATCATTCCTGGATCATCCCCGCCCCATCATCGATTCTTCACAGTCCAGTGCTCCATGGAAACGTGGCTCTGACTGAGATTGCCCATACCCATCTCCTACATTCGCAACATTTTTCCACTTCTTTTGCACAGCTCGCATCCAGTTGCACCTGCCCTGGAGGTGGGAGAGTGAGAGGGACGTGACATTGGCCAGTTTCAGGTCACGCATAAGCATGGGAAATGTCACCGCAGACACGGGGTTATAAAGGCCAGCAGAGTTCTAGGGTATCTTAGCATACTCAGGCAGGTTGGACCGAGGCTGTACGGATATCAGGTCATAACCTGGCTCGCCAGCTGGGCCGTCGTTTCGCAGAGCAGGCATGGGCTTACCCCGTACCGTCACACTACAAGTACAAGAAGTTTACGTCTAAAGTCGGCCAGGCAGCCAGTTAAAATTCAAGTGCTTGATATTCGCAACGTGAAGGGTCTCTACAGTTGGCACGAGTGCTCGCTTTTCACTGGCCGTGCCATCTCAATACGGTTCAATTGGGTCGTCGAAAGCCTTTGCAAATCCGAAGCACTCAAACGACTGTAGACAATGAGGATGGACAAAGTCGGTGATTGTAATGCTAAGTACTAGCAACACTTCCGCCAGGCCTGATGACTGATATACAAATAGTCACGTACGTCTACTACCAACCAGTACTGCAGTGGCAGGCCAGTATGCTGTATAGACATACCTCCCCTCTCTTCTCTCTTCCCTTGTCCTTCCACCGTATCGAAAGACCTGTCCAGTACCGGTGGAAATAATTCCACGATGCGTCCGTGATTCCCATACCACCGCGTACCGCAGCCCAGCAGCGTCTGCTGCTCAACATGCACCGCTGTATCGGTGACCATGGGAAACCGGAGGCTCGAGGACAGATGCATGTACTGGGAGTGGGAGTGAGAAGAGTCTACGTCTACATAGCGCCAACCTTGCATCAGTGATGCACAGTATTCTAGTACATGTACTCGCCACGTCTTTGGCACTGACGTGACAGGGCCTAGGGATGCTGCCACCACATATCCGAGACAAACATGATCCCCTGAAGCCTGGTCACATTCATTTCCGCAGAGCCGTACTGAATCCTCCCACCGCACTGACGATCAGATCCCTACATGGCACACATGTACCCCGATCATACACTACCACTGCCACTGGCTCCCATGATACGGAGAGTGCAAGCATGATCACGTGTGCACGTGTGGTGGTCTGGAGCGGTACGTCTGGAGTTCAGTAGCCGACCTGTGCCCAGTAGCAGCAGTTCAATGAGGATTGACAGTGCATATGAGACTTGAGAGGTTGATGTACAGTAGGTCTACGTTGAGTACAGTAGATATGTAGGGGCATAGCATGCAGCTTGCTGCAAACTGGATACTCCACCAAATCAGTGACTTCTTTGATGAGAAAGTCACGTTCTCTCGTCCACAAACAGCCATATAAACGGCCGTCCGGGCTAGGACTGCAAACTAATCTTCGTCCATTCTCCCAAACCTCACTTCTCAGTCGCTCTTACCTTCAGTGTTGTCTCCCCTCCCAAGCGTCCTGAACAGTTTCGACCAGCTTTCCGGTTTGCCGAACCGTCTTTGCAGTGTGATCACCTCTCGTGGGAAGTCTTCATCTCACCGCTTCGAAACAAGTCTCGTAAGTTGGCAGTACCCAGTATCGGGGTAGAGTGTGTGACGCTGTGCAATTGAGCGATACAATGGCCGCTAGGTGGGGTAATGTGTCAGCATGTGTGATGATATTCTTGAGATAACCTGCTCCCAAACGCCACCTAGGACTGTCAGGTTTCGACTGTGGAATAGCGTGGGGCGTGCACTACGGGAGGAAGTGTAGATTTGTTTAGAACTTCGCCTTTCCTGAGATCACTAATCATGTTTTGTTTATGGCTGGATCGTGCGTGGCTGAAGTTCAGTCCGTGGAATTTGCATGGGCCAAGGTGTGAAACATGATCTGCACCTCACACAATTAACAGGTGTTGGCTAGTGCCGTTCTGAAAGACATCAGGTTTTCACACCTCATCATGCAAATATCCTACTTCTTGAATTCCGTAATTGCATCCTTCAAGTTTCAGCCCAATTTATCAATGCATTAAAATTTTATGCATTATTGTAATGAGGGCGAAAACATGGTGATTCCCTTTTTGTTCAGAACTTGATCACATTGTTCAATAAGGTTTGTTTGCTATCATTCTTCTATCACTTCTGCAGGATTTGCTACATTCAGCTACGTGACCAAGTGAAACCATCAACAAGAACGATGTCTCCACTGCCGATTCTTAGCATAGCAAACTTCATCTTGGTGTTGCCAATGATGGTGCAAGTTGAGGCCAACCCACTGTCACGTCCGCAAGAACTTCAGCGTATAGGCAACGAGTTTGGCCGACCGGCACATGATGTTGGACGATTCAATGACAGGTTTCCCGGCAGAATTGTCGACAATGTGGATGGAGATCGATTAAACTTAGTCGATGTGTTCCGAACTCCGTCACCCGAAGATACTCAAGCAACGCCGCCGCCATCCACAACTCCAGAGAATAGCCATGAGAAATCTCTACTGGACAGTGAAGAAGAAGGCAGCTTGATCCCGTGCCAAACGAGAAACAAGACCATTGTCATTGAGAAGAAAGGCTGCACATCGGTGAAGGTTGACGTCAAAGTCTGCAGCGGCATGTGTGTCACGGATGTGAACTCACAGAAGCGATTCCCATACTTCAGCCCAGTCTGTCGCAACTGCCAGCCGGAGAGGGCGTCGATACAGTACGTCGAGGTGCATCAAGTATGCATCAGTGGCAAGAACGGCAAGAAATCCCGCGTGTTCAAGTACAAGCTTCCCAGCGCACAGCGCTGCAAATGCCAAATGTGTTTCAGCGACTATGCGCTCAAATTCCCCGCCATGAAAGTCCGTATGCCTTTAGGAACCTACCCAACAGATGCCGCCAACTAGAATTGAAGACAACACACTCCTTCTGACTGCCCCGATTCGCCTGCATGTTCCACAAAGCATTGACAAACTTTGCCTTGAATGGTCTCAGCTTTTGGACTGGATTCTCTTTGCATTTTCCTGATGCCTTGATTGAGAGTAAGCAAAATTCTTTGATGTTGACCAGAACTGTTGGATACTTCTCCATTATTTTTTTATATAATAATATGACTCGATTATCGTTTTCATTCCGGAAGACGAATTGAATTGACTTTAAACATGACATTCTTTGAAGCGGATTGTTGGTTACCTGGAGTGATCGTAATGGTATGATTGTAATTTTTAGACTCGTACGGAGAGCCAGGGATTAATTTATAGTAAAGAAAAGGACCAATGAACTACTGTTCAGACGGTAGTACGTAATATTTCTCTGGCATGGCATCACTAAGACTAGAAGTAATGGTTCCTTTTATTATTGATAGCTGGAGCAGTCCTTTCTCTGTCTTGTGCCAATACTGCAATAGTGATTCATGTATCAAGGCCTGAGCTACACTGTAGGCTGTAGTCTTCCCTGTCTCTCTTGTGGTTTTCTATTCATGAGGGCGATCTACAAAGTGGCGTCATAACTATTTCCAACTGGCCGTTCATGTATTACATGCATATACTTCTTAGCTGTGTGTTGTTGCTTGTTGCTGTGCATGGTCATACATTTGTATTGCATAGTATCATGGCTAGCTTTCGTGCCGTACAACAGCGCGTGTGCGGTGGCTACGCCTCTGCTGTTTTGCCAGCTGACAGTGCTGCATAAATTACTTCATCTTTGCCTTTTGTCTTCGGTTCTGTACCGACATGGAATGTTTTCGGTTTTAGTAGTTCCTTGGTTCGCGTTGTGTAGCTAGCTAGGCTGCTCTTTCAGGTGTAATTGTATTTGGAGTGAAAAGATAAGATAACGTGTTCCTTCGTGTGAACATTCTGGTAGCAGAGGATGGTTATCGCCTGAGTGAGCAGTTCAGTTTCGGAAATTTAAATTATTTAGATCATGTCGTCGCCGGAGCCTGAGAGTGAGAGCACAATCAGGGCTAGCAGTCAGAGAACTGAGCTCTTTTTAGGTGCCATGGCAGAGAGGGCAGGCGACGTGATCGAGGAGGACGAGGAAGTCGAAGAGGACGAACATGGTCAAAGTGACCAGCGATCGAATGAACTGATGTTCGTGAAAATGAAAGCTGAAAAAGCGAATCGCAAGAGAAAGTTCACCAGGTGTCGCAGAGCCGTGATCGTGGCCTTGCGTGACGGAGTTGAAGAGGAAGCTGCGAGGTCGTTGTTTGGCGAATTAGAAATGATCGAGGATGCCCTGAACGGTGTGTTCATGGACGTACTCGAGTGGGCTGGCGGCATGAACGATGCGCTCGCAGTGGCTAAAGTGACCGATGAGATGGAGGAAGCGGAGAAAGAGATGAAGGAGGTCACAAGGCTGTATCAGGAGTTCCTAGAACACCAGCCAGCGTGGACGGCTGCACGGAACAGCCACCCAGACAGGCCAGCGTATCATCAGTATGCCCAGGCACCAGTGGAAGAGCCAGGAAGTCCACTGAGCGTGATATCGCTGGGCAGAAGTGAAGGCTCCCAGGATCGGGATGAGCCTGGTGATGGCGTGGCGCTGGTTCAGGAGAACCAGGCAAGAGTAGAAGACAGTGATGAAGTGGTTGTGACCACAAGTGTCTCCGGCAGTAGTAACAGAGAGGCAGAGCTTGGGGCTAGAACAAGGCCACCAATGGAAGCTGGGAGTAGGAGGTCAGAGCGTGAAAGAAGCCCTGCCTTGCCTGTACTACAGCCTGCTGTGCCAACACGGAGTGCTGTATGTGTGTCCAGTGCATATACTAGAGTGAGTGAGACCAAGGCCCCTCAACTTCAAGTCGCGAAGAGTCCAGGCCAGCAGGGCAGTAGTACTCAGGCTCCTGTGTCAGGACTACACCCTACATCATCTCTGCCATATCAGTCCGCCAACTATCTGTACACCCAGGCCAGTGGGCCGCCACAGGTAGCCTCAAGTCATCAGGCCATGGGCATTGGTGCCTTTTCAGCATTGCCAGGAGCAGGTGTGTCCGCCAGCCACCAGCGTGCTGTGTCTCAGCCTCCACCTGTCAAGCAGCCATCAGATGAAATTTTCAAGCAACTGAAGGCTATACAGATCCCAGTCTTCGGCGGCGATAAGCAGGCGTATGCCTCATGGAAGGCTGCTTTCATGGCGTGTGTTGGTAGCTCGTCTGCAAGGGCAGACTTGAAACTGCTGCACCTCCGGCAGTATTTGAGTGGAGATGCCTTGGCTTCCATCGAGAGCTTGGGATACACCCCGTCTGCGTATGAGGCCGCAATGAGGCGGTTAGACCGCAAGTTTGGAGGCGACCAACGACAGCTGTCGCTGCAGTACGAGCAAGTCGAGGCCTGCCCAATCATTCGTTCCGGCCGAGCAGGAGATCTCCAGAAGTTTGCAGATCTCCTCGACGTACTCGTGGTCAACCTCCTCGACTCCGGAAAAGGCAATGAGCTGGGTGATGGGCTGTTGTACCGGAAGCTCCTGGCCAAGTTGCCGGCTGGGATGTTAACCCAATTCAATCGATGGTGTCATCAGAAGCCCTGCCAGCCAGGAATTCAAGCACTACTGGAGTGGGTGACGTTGGAAGCGGAGTTTGCCGTTGGAGCGTCCGAAGCACTAGATGGAGTTGGTGCGAAGGACAAGCCTCCGGCACCCCGAAATGCTCCTCAACGATCCTACTTCGGGGGAAAGGCTTCGCAGAATGCAGGGTGGTCAAGGCCTGCGGGCTCAGCGGCTGGACGATCTTCATGTCGGCAATGTGGCGGACCTCACGGTGTCTGGCAGTGTAAAGCATTTCAGCAGCTTTCCGTCGCCAATCGCTGGAGACAGGCTAAACAGCATGGTCTGTGCTACCGCTGCCTTGGAGGCGATCACCAAGGTCACCACTGTCCACGAACCAGACCCTGCTCAGTGAGCGGCTGCAACAACAATCACCACTACTTGCTACACCGGGACTTGCTACACGAGGACAGCAGGAACCCCGATGCCGCACAGTCAAACAAGAAAAAATCGGGGAACACGGCAGCTGGAGGAATGACGGCGGACAAGTCCCAACTCAGTCCTGCCGAACAATTCTGCAACTATGGAGACAATGGTTCAGGTCAGGAGACAGGGGACCAGGTATTGCCTCCCGCCATCGACTGTTTAGTAACGCCGCCATACGCCGGTAAAGACCAAGAGCAGCGCACCCCACAGTCGTTCACCGAGGGGGAGACGGAGTCCACGAAGAGTGATTCCACCATGATGGTCCAAGGCCCGGGCAAGATAGCTCTGCGAACGGTCTCAGTCGTCTTGGAGAACGGCCACAAGTCAGTGCAAGTGAATGCGTTGCTGGACGACGGTAGCACAACGAGCTACCTCAACGGCAGCATTGCCAACCAGCTCGGCGTCAGCGGGGAGCTGAGGACATTCACGGTCCACACCTTGAATGGCAAGCAGACCTCATTCACAACCAGACCAGTAAGCTTCACCATTGGCAGCATGGATGGCAGTGTTCGGCAATCTATGACGGCGCTGACGGCTGATTCGGTCACCGGGAATCTTCGTCCGGTAGAGTGGGTCAAGGAAGCAGTCAAGTATCCTCATCTGAGAGAGATTCCGTTCGCAAGACTGGCGGAGCCCGCCAGGGTCGATCTGCTGATTGGGAGCGACTATGCTGAGCTGCTTGTGTCACAGCAGGAAGTGGTCGGCCCGCCTGGTCAACCAGTGGCGCGTCATACTCCACTGGGTTGGACCTGTGTTGGCAGAGTGACGGGAACCCACTCGAGTCAAAGGACGTTCCACAGCCAAGCGTTTCAGAGTGAGGAGAGAGCAACACCAACCGGCTTAGAGACCGCGCTACAGCAGTTCTGGCAAATTGACAGCTGCGGCACGGAGGAGAGCTTCAGTGAGCCCGGCCCGCGCTCGCTGGAGGAAGAGACAGCCCTAGACATCGTCAAACACTCGCTGAAGAAGGTGGACGGTCGGTACCAGGTGTCTCTGCCGTGGAACAATCGCAAGAGAGAATTATGCAACAACTTGGGTGCGGCTACGAAACGTCTAGGCCACACCGAGCGCAAGCTCCTGAAAGACCCATTCGTTGCCCAGGCTTATGGCCAAGTCTTCCAGGCCTACCAGAGGAACGGCTATATCCGTGAGCTCGCGAAGGAAGAGCTAGGTCAAGAGGTATGCTGGTACTTATCCCACTTTCCCATCGTCCGACCGCAGAAGACGACAACCAAGGTGCGGATCGTCTTTGACGCTGCAGCATCCTGTCATGGCCTCAGCCTCAACGACGCCATCTACCCTGGTCCGAAGCTCCAACGTGAGTTGTTCGATGTGTTGACCAGGTTTCGGCAAAAGCCTATAGCAGTGGGCTGTGACGTGACCGAAATGTATTTGCAGGTGTCGGTTGCGCCAGCAGACAGGAAGTACCTCAGATTCGTGTGGCGGGACCTGGATCCAGCCAAGCCTTTACGGCACTTTGAGTTCAACCGCCTGGTCTTTGGCGTCAATGCTGCACCATTCATCGCCCAGTATGTTGCTCAGCAGACAGCCCGGGAACATTTGGCGTCTCATCCCCTGGCAGCAGAAGCTATCCTCGCGTCCACCTACATGGATGACACGATGGACAGCACCAAAGATGTCGAACAAGGTCAGATTCTTCATCGGGAGCTAATGGATCTGTGGGGTGAGGCCAAGATGACGCCGCGCAAGTGGGTGTCCAACTCGCCCGAGCTCCTGAGGGTAATTCCAGCCGAGGCTCGCGCTACCCAGCTGGACTTATCCCAAGGAGAGCTACCATCCGTGAAGACGCTAGGAGTGTCATGGGACGGTCAGGCAGACTGCTTCTTCTTCAGCGTTCAACCGCCAGACCTCACCAACCAACGCATCACCAAGCGATTCCTCCTAGCAAAAGTCGCGTCCGTATTCGACCCGTTGGGGTTTCTGGCACCGTTCGTGACCCAAGCCAAGATCCTCATGCAAGAGAGTTGGGTAGCTGGTATTGACTGGGATGAACCGGTTCCAGATGGCATCGACACCAGCGCTCGCCAGTGGTTCAATGACCTGGCGAAGCTCAGTTTAGTTCGAGTACCAAGATGTCTCATCCCGGACGTGGCCAGTGGAGTGACGCTGCATGTTTTCTGTGATGCGTCGAGTGTGGCGTATGGTGCCGTGGTCTACAGCTCCACCGTGCAGTGTGGCTCTGAGGGAAACGTTCGTCTCGCTGGAGCCAAGAGCAGAGTGGCGCCGACAAGAACACAAAGTATCCCCCGGCTGGAATTGCTGGCGGCTGTGCTTGGCCTTCAGCTGGCCCGGAAGTTCAGTCAGATCATGACCATTGCCATGTCAGAGGTGATTTTCTGGAGCGACAGTGCAACTGTGCTGCTCTGGATTCGCAGCTACAGCCGACGTTTCAAACCGTTTGTGGCGAATCGCATCAGCCACATCCAGACTGTTACGTCGCCCAGTCAATGGCGGTACGTTCCCTCCAGCGACAACCCAGCTGACTTGGCGTCACGGGGAGCTGGGGTAGAGCAACTGGTTGCAACTGAGCTGTGGTGGCAAGGACCGGCCTTCCTGCAGAAAGAAGAATCTGAATGGCCAGCCAAGATCGTGGGTGGCCAAGACCCAGCTGCTCGAGCGGAAGCTCGCAAGGCTGCACAGCCCGAGGTGATGTCATTTATGTCCGAGAAAGTACCCAGCTTGTGCTCTCGGCGCTTCTCAGACTGGACGCGCGTAGTCAGAGTACGGGCTTGGGCAATTCGCTTCATCACCAACTGCCGTGGAGGTGAGGAGTTGAGCGGAGAGCTAACCGGCGAGGAGATGGACGCTGCCAGCCTTTCCATCATCAAAGAGGCACAGCACGAGGCATTCGCGGAGGATCTGAAGCTAGTGAAGAATGGTCAACCACTTCCGCTGAAGTCACGTTTGGCGAGGTTATCGCCTCGACTGGACGACGACGGACTATTGCGCTGCGATGGTCGCACCAAGCTGGCTGACTGGTTGCCGTTTGATGTGCGCTTCCCGATTCTTCTCCCCCGGAAACATCCGACCACCCGGCTTATTGTCAAAGATTGCCATGAGCAACGTCATCATGGCGGGACGAATGAAACGTTGGCAGCTCTCTCTGATCACTATCTTGTCGAAGCAGCACGGGAGGAGATCCGTGACTGGGAGAAAGACTGCATGGTGTGTCGACGACTAAAAGCCCGTGCGGGAGAGCAAATCATGGCCCCGTTGCCAGCAAAGCGATTGTGTGAGCCACTGAGAGCCTTCAGCAGGGTAGCCGTTGACTACGGAGGGCCGTTCGAAACTATGCAGGGGAGAGGAAAGACTCGCCACAAACGCTATCTGTGCCTCTTCACGTGTTTGCTGACTCGTGCGGTCCATTTGGAGATGGCGTACGCATTGGATGCAAATTCTTTCCTGAACGCCTTTAACCGGATGGCCAACCGACGAGGTTGTCCAATGGAGGTTCTGTCGGACAATGGAGGCAACTTCGTGAATGCCGACCGCCAGCTACGTGAGCTTGTTGGCCAACTGAACAATACCACCGTCCGGAAAGCCATGGCCTGCAGACGCGTGAAATGGAGTTTCAACCCGCCATTAGCTCCTCATTTCGGGGGAGTTCACGAGGCAATGATTCGAGCCGCCAAACGAGCTCTACACGCCATCCTTGGAGACGCATCTGTGACGGACGAGGAGTTGGTCACCGCTCTCAGCGGAGCAGAGTCCCTCGTCAACTCCAGGCCCATCACCTACCAATCGGCTAGTCCGAAGGATCCAGGGCCGCTAACTCCGAACCATTTCCTTCATGGCATGGCCGAGGGCCAGCTGGTTATTGCAACAACGGACGAGAAGGGGTGTCAACTGCAGAGACGTTGGAGATATGTTCAAATGCTCATCGACCATTTCTGGCATCGCTGGCTGAAAGAGTTTGTCCCACGGTTGAATCAGCGGATGAAGTGGCGACACCAGCGACGCGATCTGGCCGTTGACGACGTTGTCCTGGTGATGGATTCAAGCTCCCCGCGTGGGCGTTGGCCGCTCGGCAGAGTCACGGAAGTTTTCCCTGGTCCGGACGGTCATGTGCGTGTGGTGGCCATGCAAGTGGGCGGGAAGACTCTGAAGAGATCCATCACTCGAGTCTGTCCACTGGAATGTTAGACGGCTCTCCCTACATGCCAGAATGGAGGTACTGCTCAGTGACGACCCCCATTAATGATTCATGCATTGTTTTTGTTTTTTTGTAGCTTCCTACCACTGAACTTGCCCTTTCGATTCACTTTTCTCTTAGCTTGGTACTGGTAGTTGTAAGGATAGGCATCATGCAACATCTGGGTGCATATTGCGAGGGGGAGGATGTTCAGACGGTAGTACGTAATATTTCTCTGGCATGGCATCACTAAGACTAGAAGTAATGGTTCCTTTTATTATTGATAGCTGGAGCAGTCCTTTCTCTGTCTTGTGCCAATACTGCAATAGTGATTCATGTATCAAGGCCTGAGCTACACTGTAGGCTGTAGTCTTCCCTGTCTCTCTTGTGGTTTTCTATTCATGAGGGCGATCTACAAAGTGGCGTCATAACTATTTCCAACTGGCCGTTCATGTATTACATGCATATACTTCTTAGCTGTGTGTTGTTGCTTGTTGCTGTGCATGGTCATACATTTGTATTGCATAGTATCATGGCTAGCTTTCGTGCCGTACAACAGCGCGTGTGCGGTGGCTACGCCTCTGCTGTTTTGCCAGCTGACAGTGCTGCATAAATTACTTCATCTTTGCCTTTTGTCTTCGGTTCTGTACCGACATGGAATGTTTTCGGTTTTAGTAGTTCCTTGGTTCGCGTTGTGTAGCTAGCTAGGCTGCTCTTTCAGGTGTAATTGTATTTGGAGTGAAAAGATAAGATAACGTGTTCCTTCGTGTGAACAACTACAATGTTGCAATGTTATCGCATGAGCTGATTAACTGATGGTGTGAGTGGATATTATAGCGTAACTTGTAGTTCCTTGGTCCTTTTCTTTACTATAAATTGTAATTTGTAGTTGGGGATATCATTTTTTGCATGAGATCTTTGGCTTTGGAACAATGCCGAGGGAAACAGGTAGGTTGGTAGATTCTGGGGGTGTAAGGTGACAGTAAAGTCCCACTGTTATCCGACATAAGGGGAATCGTGCAGTACATCTACCCAGCCATCAGGCCACAAGGAATATCAGGATCTGTTCAGAGACTCCGGACTAGGCCTCTGCGATTTGATGATGGGATCTGAGCTAGAGCAACTCTGCAGGAGAGAAGTAGGTGGTAACGTTACATTGTAAGGTTAGGGTAGATAGCTCCAGTCCAATCAGTGATGACAACATGCCTATGTAGGAGTCACAACGATTTGAAGCCAGGATTGTTTTTGACGCAAATGCATACTCCAGAGACACACATCACAGTACATCCCCTCTTGCAGCATTCCAGGACCGCAGGTTGCTTCCCAACGAATATACGCATACGGCTCATCCGCCATCTGGTGATGACGCTTTCCTGGGATGGACAATGAAGATAATGAACTTCTAATGGTAGCATCGAGGTGGGTCTGATTGTTCAAAAGATCACCGATACACCTTCTGGTCAATTTACCAGGACTGTCTGATGAGCGACCATGATACGGCTTGGCATACGAATTCGAAAAACAAACCTTATACACTGTAGCATGCGTTCACACGTTTCACGTGTAGGAAAAGCGGGTGGACGCATATCCCTTTGTCGTGTGTGTCGTGAAAACATGAAACCATCTCCATGCATGTACCGTGAAATGCAACTGTCCTGCTAAATTCAGCTCCGTTCCGGACACCTGAAATGTGCTGCGTGCTTCGTAGCAATTTCTCCCGGGTCTGCACAATGGCAGAAACACTTGGTAACAAGAACGTCATGCGTATTCACACGCCACGCGCCATTTCATCACGTCACCCTGCTACATAGGAAATCGAATGAATAAAGCTATTCGATTACTGACGCAGGGCACGCACATGTGTAATGATTCCATGGATGCAGTGACGATCGCCACTTTGTCTCCTTGGTCAACGAACCTGCGAATGTCGAATGTTCGAATGTGCTGTGGCGTGTGGGCTCTGCTCATAACTGTGCTGTGAAAACGCTCCTAAAAGTGCTGGTCATCGTTCAGCTTGAGGTAATGCTTGTCTCAGTCTCCACTAATTTTATTCACTTCATGAAGCCAAGGTAAACATCATCGTTCTTTGATGGGAGATATGTTCATCAGGCATTTCAGAAGTATGTCACAGTTGGTGGCGCAATTAGCTCGCGTCGTCACGCATACAATCATGCTTTGGCTTCTTGCCGTTCACTCATCATGCCAGTTCTGCGCCACCCGATGGGCAGCTGTGGGCATTCATATCAAGCAAATGATGGACCTCTGCGATGATAGCTGTTCTTGCATAGTCATTGTACCAACCGGCCGTTAGGTGGGCTGATAGTTTCCGCATGAACAGGGCAAGTAAACACGCCATTAAGAACATCTGGCTGTCGGCTTCTCGGTTAGGTTCTGATTTTCTCCCGCCGAGCGACGCCACACGAGAATTCCCTGCAGGGTGACCCATGAAGTGCTACCGGGAGTCCAGGAGTCCAGCGCACTGCTCTTCCGCTGCTGAAGAAGTGCCCCGCAAAGGAAAGCTGCAGGAAGACCGCGGTGACTGGGCACTGGCTGGGCGCTACTAATCGGCCAGGTCGTTGCAAGATTGTTTGATGCGAGCACAAGTGATATCAGGGACTTTGAGTACATCTAACATGGGTGAGGTTTTATAATGGATAAAGCAATTCAACTACACACGGGCACGCGCGCAGACCGGTACATGAAATCACCAGCCGTCATCTCCGAAAACGCTGCCCAGTAACGTTAGCAATTACAGGCCTAAATCGCTTCAGAAACCACTTTCTGGATCAAGGTTTGCTCGCCAGAGGCCCATGTGTTGTTGGTGGCATCCAGCTGACATTTCCAATTGCCGATCGCAGGCAGCCCTCGGTGGATAATGCCAGTAGAAAAACTGGCAGAAATTGGTACTTTTTCTGGTATGTTTCATGCATGCTTGGTACATTGTATGTGGATAAGGAAATGGAGCAGTTTTCAAGGAAGTGCCTGCCATAAGGTTTGTATGGTTCTGCCAATTTCACTGCTTTTCTAGCATCTAGAACCTGCCACTTGTTGGAGCGTTGTCGGCCAGTAGTTAATCGCAGGTACGGAGATAGCATGCAACTGATGGAATACCTCGGAAACAATAATGAAACATCATCATAATTGTAACATGGGAGATTGTGGGCACAAGTTATGCGATCGAGTCCACCAACTAAACCAGATTTTGAACAGTCAGACGTGCACAATCTAGCACAAAACTGACAAGGAGTACTGAGACATTCCACGGCATTCCACAAATTCCCATGTTACAATTTTTTCCTTGGCTCACCATCTGAGTTCATCATCATAATCTTGTTTTTTTTACTCTTGTTTTCAGTTCTCTGTCTCGGTAACAGTGCATGCTTTTCCGAGTGAACTCCGGATACGGCAAGTAAGCACCAGAGGTACGGATATTATCTCCCGTGGTACAAGTCACTTCTCTTCCGTAACGACCTAGCGAAATTTACATAAAATTTATTTCATTTGTCATCACCGGTGATTGTTGTAACTTGTAAGGGGGGGGGGGGGGCGGGGGGAGTTTATTGTTCTGACGTTTAATTCCGACACCAAGAAGTGCCTTCGTCACAAATGCGCTGCATGTAGGCGTTTAGGCCGTTTTATTCAGTTTGCATTTTCATGAATTTCGTTTGAGGCTTTTTTTAAGTTTTAGAGGTCGAGTTGTGAGTGTTGGGTGTGTTGGGTGTGTCTCACCGGAAGCGGAAGATTCTCGTCTGAAACGACCAGCGCGATATCACAGACAAGCTCAATACGTACTTCGAACTACATGTATGTTTATACATGTATCTACAAGATACAGAACTACTTTCGAGCAGCTACTATCACCACTAGCCAGACCTGCCCTTCGCGGAAGCGATGATAGCGAACAGCTATGTTAGACATAGCAACTTGTGCTGGGATTACACCATTTAACAGCTTGCAAGGCTGATGAACACACACACACACACACACACACACACACACACACACACACACACACACAGGCACACACACACACACACTCTCTCTCTCTCACACACACACACACGCACACACGCGCCTAGTCCTAATCGTGACCCCGGTGGTACACTGGACCGGCATTAACTTAAACATGATGATTGTATCGCGATGAAGTGACTTCGGAGTAGAGCCTTTTCCAGGCAACTGCTTTTACCATTGGATTAGTCAGAACCTAGTTGCTTATGCGAATGACAAGTCGAATCAACCATCTCAGAATTACACTTCGCTTGTTACCTGTCCGCGCACTCGATGCACTTCAAACCTTCAAAATATTAAAACGTTAAAGCGCTTTGCTTGATGTAGCTGTGTGGTTCCGTGGGGTAGGCCGGTGCTAGAAATAGTGCTACTACAGACAGTAGTAGTATCTGATACTATCATCAGCCGCGTTTCTGCCGGAACTGCCTTGGATACCCGGTGCGTTCTGGGCAGGTACAAGGTGTATGTGAAAGAGATTTGCACGTGCAGGCAATGATTCCAGTGCAATCACGTGATCTGCACGATCTGCCAGTGACGTACACTAGTACAAATACAATGTACACGACAATACCATGATGATTTGTATTATTTTTATATTGTTGTAAAAGGATTTCCAAAGGCTTTTCGTCTATCTAGGTGGTTTCCATCAGTGAGTAGTTAATACCTTTTTTTGTCTACTGCTCGCTGGTTTCCATGACACCAAAGTCGTATAAAAGTGATGAGCAATAGCTGAGCAAAGAAAGGGATAAAGAAGTGTAGTGTAGAGCAGAGCTCTGAGCTTGAACATACGGGTATATGCAGAACTGGGATAATACATGAAAATGATCAAAAGTGATGTTGAAGAGTTGATTGCTGAGTGACCATAGAAACACAGTTACGTCATGGTGTCTTGATCTTGTCGTCAAATAAAGGTCATGCTTATGCTGATCAGTATGTAGAAGTGCGACAACAAGAGTATGATGCACAGCAAGACGGATGGGTTAAAGATGTTTCGGCTAGGGCGGTCAGGAAACACGAAATACATGCTTTGGCTTTCCTATAATGCTCTGGCTACTTCCGTGCCGTTCGACTCCAGCTGCTGAGGAAACATAAGGTAATAACGTGATCATTTCGGCGTCAGAACACATTACTAAGCCGGGTTCTCCTGCAAAGAGGGTACAATGCTGGCTCGAGGGGATTGAGTGCTTGCCGAACTGTTGGCATCGGTTTCGCTGGTCATCGACCTGGGCCTTTGAGAGGCCTCCTCAACCGCATACTTGTACCTGCGACTCTACGGGCCCTCGAGGCCTGCGGGACGCGAAAACAAGATGGCTGGTGTGCGAGGATGCTACCAAGATAATGGGGGGCCTTTGTGTTCTGCTTCAGCGCAGTTGAAACTGTCATCAGGATGCCCTGGACGGTGCTGCAAAGCACTTGTGCCCAAGCCAAAGCCGGAGTGATTATCAGCATTCCAGAGAGACGGCTGTACCCTGGATGCGTTTCGTGTCCAACAGCTTCAAAGTGTTTCGGGGTTGTTGGTGATTGATGACGAAGCAGTATGCGGCAGGACATGCAGATTCAGGCAATGTAAAATTAGAACTACAGTACAGTAGTGAGATGTACATACTTCAGTAGTACTATAGTCATGTACATGTTCTTGCATAACGTCACGCTAAACTGGGACTGGTCGACTACCCACCTGCACCGAGGAGCAATGTTAGCCAACACTGGATCGATCCAGCCTTATGACGTGTGCGATCGTCTGCGGGC